CTGAACATGTAAAATGAACACTGACGGATTGAAGAGCCAAGCAGTGCAGTGAGGTCCAATCCCAGCCTGGGGAGTTCTTCTGCCCTTACGTGTGTGGGTTCTCTCTGGGTACTCCAGATTCCTTTCAGGCCCTTCATTCTTCTTGTTCAGTATTTATTTAATTTATATAAAAAAGACTTAAGGCAAAAACCATTAAAATCAAGAAGGACTGAGTTTATTTTATTCTATTTTATTGACCAGCATCAAATGCCAGCTTGTCAGCGATAACATTTACTATATCACCAATGCAGAGTTAGATTTTTAATATAGTATGATTTAGAAACTACATTACATAAATTGTCATTTTGTTGGTTTGCAGGAAGATCCAAAAGAGAGTGTTTAATTGTCTTTTTTTTTTTTTTTTCTTGCTTGTCTTTTGTTCTGTTTTTGTGCTAGCTGGGTCTGGAGGGAGCCTCACATCCCTGCTGGTTCAGCCCATCTCCGCCTTCCTTGCCAAGACTTTATTGTCGTCGCCATCAGTGGGACAGGGAGCAGATGCCTGCACTCTTTTATCCATGCCTCCCAACACAGGTAAGCACAAAAAAATCATTTGCAGAGCTACCAATGGAATTGCATTAACTTTAGCAATTTTTAACTTTGTCTGTCTCTCACTGGGCCTCATCAGAGGACTGTTGAGCTTTGCCATCTGTTTGTAAGACACAAATCAAATGATTCTATAAGTTGTGTGATTTCAGCAGATCAGTAGTGATGGGTCTTTATGCATGGATAATGTTACCCTTAGTTTGAATGAATTAAAGGAAATGCAAAAATGAATTTGACCTCATCTTGTTTAGATGACTTAGTACATTACATAATACCCAACTCTTTTATATTTATATGATGTGACCTTTGGAAAAACATTGTGATGATTCAGTCCAAACATTAAAACAATTCAAACTACGACCTTTTTAGATGATCAGGATTATCAGCTTGTTTGGAAATGTTAGTCCAAATCTTTCAAACTAAGAGACATTTTCAGCTGCTCACTGAGTTCAACAAAAAAATAAATTAATTAAAAAAATCAGATATAGGAACTGTGTCCAGTGTACACGTCAACATTTCATATATATTAGTTGAACGACTTACATATTTGAGATGTTGAAGTTTGAAGAATGAATGAAGAATGTTTGTCAGTTCTGTTTTTTGCCAAGTTTGGCATATTGAAAGTTTTAATGAGAGTGCTCCAACTATGACGTGTCAGATCAGGTGTTGTACTCGCCTACAGCTTTGTTACAGGGTTGTTTGGTGAGTACACATATTTAGAGCACGGCTGGCAGATGGAAATTGCTTTGGTCAGCTCTGAGTGCAGCTGCAGGATAATGAATTAGGGAAGTCGCTCTAATTTGGGCCATAGACAGGACTTTGGGTTGAGTCCTTTGGGCATGGCGTACTTAGGTACCCTGGTCACAAGGTGCCCATAGATTACATGTCAGTAGATGTAGCATCTTCTCTGTAACTGTTGGCTGTTCTCCTCGTTTTAAACATGAATCCAGTTTTTTACTCAAAATTAGGATCAACTTTCCATTCTCTACAAGGCTCATGTGCAACATAAAGGCTTTTGTGCATCTCAACTGATATCCCAGCTTTAAATAATAAAATTGTTCTAATATTGTAGGCTAAATCCTTTCTTTTAATGTTTTGAAAGAAGTCCCCTCGTCCGTATGTTGGCAGATTTCCACAGGAGTTTAAAAAAAATCAACCTATCAGTATCCATATTACAGTCACCTCCACTGCTCCTCTGATCCGTCCCTCTGTCTTCCACTCAGGCGTTTGTCCACCATCATCTCCTGTTGACAGCATGTTCCCTCATTTCTTGTGTGTACACTTCATCCATTTTCATTTACTCCCCAATAAATTCAAGCATCTGGCCGGTGGCTGGAAAACAGCATGCTGTCCTTTTCCTCTGGTGCTCAGATTTTAGACACACACACACACACACACACACACACACACACACACACACACACACGTTTGTCACTGTTGTGCTTCAGTGCTGTCTGAAGGAGTCACTCAGCAAATAAGTGACACATCCAATATTGACAAAAGTATTGATCTTATAGTGCAGAAGTTGTTTGATGTGCTTGCTGCACTCTGTGTGGTTTTCTGTTGGAAACAAGTCAGTATCTCTGGTCTGAAAGGACAGCTGATGTTCAGTGTCCTGATGTTGGATGTTATGCCTATTCTAACTATGTTTCTGCTGGTTATGGACTGAACAGTTTGACGTACTGCAAATATGATGACAGTGTGGACCAACCCACACCGAATGAGCCTGCTGGGTCGGCTCCTTCCACAACATCAAATGAGTGAAACTGGGAGAGGAGCTACAAGGGACAGAGACTCAGTGGAAGACGGAGCCCATGAGTGAGAGAGATGTATTTTGTCTCCAATCGATCAGCTGCACCCATGACCACACCTGGGATCCCACTATCATTTGTTCCATCTGCTTCCCTCTTTTCAATTTTTTTGCTTTCTAGCCAAGTCTCTTTTTACACTTTTTTTTTTCTTTTTTAATTCCAGTTCAATTAAAGGTGGCTGCATTGCCTGGCCTTGTTTAATTACTCAGGGCCCTTCTTTGGAGACCAGTGACATGACTTGGCCAGCCTCAGGATTCTTGTTCCTCTGTAGTTGCTGTGTTTTGTGTTCATACGCCCCATGCCTCACAAAAGTCCTCTTACTGCGTTTTTCACTTTTTGTAACATCGGAGCCACAAATGTCAGTGTACTTGAAATTAAATCAGATTCAAATTTACTGTATTCCCTTAAAATAATGTGGGATGAAAACTTGACATGTCACTTCATCCTGACCACACCAACCCTGCTAACATGGTGGTGACATTATGCTGTCAGGATGCTTTCATTTGCAAGGGTCAGGAACGGCAGACCGAGTTGATGGAGCTAAACATGGAGCAATCCTGCTAGAGGCTGCAGAAAACTTTAAACAGAATGGAGGTTCACTTTCCAACAGGACAATAACTTTAAACATCCGGCCAGGCGTGCCCAGAAGAAATATTCATAGGGGTGGCCTGACCAGAACAGTAAAGCATTGAAGGTGGCACAAAAAGACACGTCCTGGGCATCTCGGTGTCCACATACAGATATCATATAAACCAGTCGACCCTGAAGCTCAAATCGCCTCCGGTCTGAACGCAGCAGAAGGTTGTCTGCCAAGATGTCTGCTCTGCCAGAAACAGTCACCTGCAGAAACCCTCCTGACCCCAGAGGAGGCTTCCTATTTCCTGCTTCCTGCTTCCTGCTCCAACAGGAGAGAGGAGCAGCGGGACCGGAGACATGAGCATGGCAGTTTGGAATCATCTACTGAATCCGACCATGGAAGAACTAAATTGCCTTTTCCATTGTACAGTGTCCTGACTGAAAACATTCAGACACCAAAAACTTATTTTACTTGCAAGTCATTCATCATCACTGAGCTATTTAAACATGAGTCTATCCACTTTTAATAAACTAATATTACTATGTATACATAGTAATATTTTTGTTTCTTTGTTCATTTTAATGTAAAAGCTGTAGAACATGACGGTGAATGTTGGGCTGTAGCATCAAGGCTAACTAAATCTGGTCATAGTAGGTCTGTGTGACTGTGGTCAGGTGGAGCTTGTGTTTGGACATTGTCAGTCCTCCTGTCCCTACATTGACCTCCACCTTGATTTTAAACCTATATTATTAAATTACCTGATGATCTGTGGAAATGGCTGGTGTGAAATGATTTCCTGCTCCTGCTTTGTGACCATGAATAATTTAACTCTCATCTTGCTTGGGCAGCTGCTTAACGGAGCCAATTGGAGCTGATTGCTGAAATGTCAAAGCCACATGAATGATTTCATTTTATTTTTTTCTGTATTGAAAAATGTTGAAAAATATTTAACATTCTTCTACTACAGTAAGCTGGTCACAAACTGTCAATCTGAAAGGGAAAGTTACGATATCCCAGATTCTGTTGAGATGGATCTAAGAGCTGTGACCTTTTCTTTAATTGTTTTCTGGCAATATTTTAAATACCACACTGTATTCAAATACATAATACCTAATGCACTATAGCAGTAGTTTTTTTTACTGAAATTATGTTGTCTCATATAACTTCTTGACCTTTCATTTCAGAGTCCCACTTTGGTTCTTGAGAATTTGTTAAAGTATTTATGTATTTATTCAATAAACTCCACTCCAATCATGTGAGACTACTAGCACCAGTTGGTCTGACCTCTATTGAATTAGGTCAGTCCCTTTAAAGGGTGTGATTTATTATACAATTATTATAATTAATTTTTTGTTACATATTTTTAATTGTCATTATTTTGCAGAAACAGTTATTACTTTGACAATAAATATTAAAGGGGTCTTTTTGTTGTTGTTGTTTTGTCTTTTTTGTCAAAATATGCATAATGCTTTTGATCATGCTATAAAATCAATGAAAAGAGAAAAACATCCAGTGGGGTAAATACTTTGGATAGACTCTTTGTTTCCACCTTATCTCTGTGATTCCAGGCCTGTTGGTGTTTGTTTGTATTGAAGCTGTCCACTTCCCTTCAAACTTTGGAGATTGAATGCATAGTGGGATTAGATATGCCATTATGACACAGTGAAATGTATGGTTAGGAGAGTGTTTCTGTTTGGAAACTGTAATATTTCCAACTGTTGACTGGTAGCTTTGAATAGTTTGTTTTTGTTGGTTTTAACAATTTCTTCAGCATTGTATAATTATCAGAATCGGCTTTCTTGGCCATGTTTGTGCGACAAAAAAGGAACTTGACTTTGGTTTCACTCTCTCAGGGAGTGTAGGCGTTAAGGATAAATAAATGAAGTTGATCAATATATGTACACTCACTACTTTACAGTATTTATGTAAAGGAAAGAGAAGACAGATTAATACGACAGAGTATTAGAGCCAGGCTCAGTGATTTTTAAAACTTAACCTAAGAGAATAAAGTTGCACATCAAGAGGGTCATTATAATATGAGAATAAAGTCCTAATATTACCAGAATGAAGCCGAAATTATGCAAGCATAGTTAAATTACTGAAATAAAGTCGTAAGGTGTTGGTTGTGTCCATCAGTTTGTGTCCAGGCTGCTAAATAATGTCAGTGAAGACCAGCAGCTCCTGAAGAAGGGTATGCTTTTTAAGTGAAATATATATTTTTTTATTGGGTTAAAAATGTGTTTGCGATTGGTGCACAGATGCAAGAGAAGTACACTTGTAACTTTAAGTCCTGGTTTTCTTTTTTTACATTTTTCAGAAGCATGCATGCTGAACCTGAGTGACAAAGAGTTCAGGGGGAACAAAAGAAATAACCACAGCAGAATAAAGTTTCCTGTTCTACCTGCCGCAGCAGCTGAATGACTGACATAACCACACTCAGACCTTTCAAAGAAAACTGTAGGTTATGGGGACCTAATTGGAGTATGTTTGAAATCAGTAATTGCAGTAAAGGAGACCATTTATACAGTTACATAAAATGCATCAAGTGTAAATGACAGCTGAAAAAAATAACGTTCCTGTGATATACTCTACTAAATCTG